CTCCCAGTTGTGGGGTTTCTCTTTGTTTTTGTTACTGTCTCTTTTGCTGTGCATAAAGCATTTCTGCTGCACATCAAAGTACAATAATTGTCTTGAAGAAAAGCATCTGAGCCACACATTGAAGTAGCTGCTTTTTCCATGGAATATTACTATTTCTTGAATAAACAACTGACAGGCAAACCATGGTTATTCAAACAATATTTTTTTCCCTTTTTTTTTTTTTTTTTGGTGGGACCCTCACTGGCGGGCAGGGAACGAACCGGCGCTGCAGAGGCTGCGGGCAGCCTCACAGCCCAGCGCTCAACCACTGCGCCACCAGGGGAGGCCCTTCAAACAACATTTTTCACAAAAATGAACAAAGTGAGACTGTTACTTCAAAGAAAACAAATGACAGTACTTGTTGTCAGTGATACAATTCAAGCATTTAAACTAAAATCAGAATTTTGAAAATGTGTCTGCTGTGAGCTTGACAGTTTCTCAATACTTTAAAGTTTTCCAGATGAAATGGTGGTAATATTATTAAGTGTGAATTTTTTTAATTGTATAAAAAGCCACGTTAAACGTTTGAAACATCTGTGTAACACAGTATTTTCCAGCTCACCAATCCATGTTTCAAAATCATACATGGGTGAAAGATCCATTCAAGTACAAGATAAATTAACGGGTTTTGGTGTAGATTGGTACAAAAGGTCATTCACATGGCTTTAGATTCCACATTGCAACTAACGTGTAAGAAATGACCACTTACGGGTTTGGCGACAGTATAAAAGAGTATCCATAATGTTTATAAGATATTCAAAAATATTCCTCTTTTCCAACTCCATATCTCTGAGGCTAGAATTTCTTCTTGTACTTCAATCAAAATGACGTTTGGTAAGAGACTGAATGCAGATGCAGCTGTGACAAGTCAGCTGTCGCTTTCCATCACAGCAGTCAAAGTAAAGCAGCAGTTATGGTTCCGTCACACCCCAAGATCGTGGGGGCCAGGGAGGGCCCCCAAGGTGGGTGAGCCACTGGCACCTCACTGAGCACGTAAGTTCACATGAGACCCGCAGGGGAGTTTGGTGCCTGTGCCCGCATGAGGCGCATGCTACAAAGCTGCTCACATTTAAGAAAAGGATGGAAACAAGCCACACCAAGGGGAGAGAGTTGCTGAGCAATGTCTTGGCTGCCATGAGGAAGGCAGCTGCCAAGAAAGACTGAGCCCCTCCACTCCTCTGTGTGTGAAGAAAATCTTTTCAGGGAAAAAGAAATGACAGAGAATCCAGTTGTCTTCTATTAAGCCAGACATTAAAGAGAGCTTCAAAAGTGTAAGACAATAACCCTCCTTCCTCTCACTAAATCTTTTCCATTTTAAAAAGCTTTCTCATTAAAAATGTCTTGTGTAAAGAGCTTATTATTTTTAATGAATGCATAAAGATTTAAGTATTTTCTTAGTTTCAGTTTCTAACATTGGTAAATATAACCCATGTATATAAAAGATTTTTTAGAGTCTATAATAATTTTTGAGAGTTAAAGGCCAGGGATCAAAATGTAGAATTTCCCTGCCTCACTACTCCTTCAAGGTTCCAAACTTCCAGAAAGTCTTTTCTGATAACTTAAAATTAATCTACTTTATTTGGTTGAAGTGGAGAACAAAGACAACAATGTTTATAGGCATTCAACTACTAGTATGCTGAAGGAGCAAGGCTAAAATGCTGAGTGGTCCACTGCAAAGACATATGGTCAAAAAAATTCAAATCAAAAATAAATTCAGGGCCTCCCCGGTGGCGCAGCGGTTGAGCGCTGGGTTGCGAAGCTGCCCGCGGCCTCTGCGGCGCCGGTTCGATCCCCGGCTGCTCCCCGGCCACCACAGGAGGGTCCCACATGGCGCGCAGACCTCTCCTGCCGCCCGCTGCTCCCCTCAGCAGTGTACTTCGGTCCTCCTGCCTGCTCTGCTTCCCGCTCTGGCTCTGGTGAATTCTCCCACCCTCCCGCGCTTCTGACTGTACCCAGTGCATGTATAAACAAAAAAAAAACAAACAAATAAATAAATAAAAGCATGCCTCTATAAAAAAAAAAAAATTCAAATTTAACTAATTTTGTGTATATTCGCCATTAAAAAATTCTCTCTCAAATCCTGACTCAATTGCTGGAAATGTAAACTGCATATTTTTTGAAAGGCAATCCTTTAATACAAAAATTACAATAGTACATAAGTTATCTTGCTACTATCACAACTATGCAAAAAGTGCAAAGTTATTCATGAAGCACTGTTGGTAAATACAAAAGACCGGGGGAGGGGGAATCAAATGTCCTTTAATTAGCAAAGTGATAAACAGTACATACATATCTCATAATACTTAGCAGACATAAACAAGAATAAGGAATTCTTGAAAAATCTGTTATATTGCTAAGTGAAAGAAGACAAAAAAATTTTTTTGTAGGGCCTCCCTGGTGGCACAAGGGTTAAGAAACAACCTATGAAGCAATCCATAGCCACTGCAGCACGAGTTCGATTCCCAGCCAGCCAGGGAGATACCCATACGGTGTAGGAGACCTCTCCTGTCTCGCCCGCTGCTCCCCTCAGCAGTGTACTTTGGTCAATCTGCCTGTTCTGTTCCCCGCTCTGTCTCTGGTGAATCCTCTCACCCCCCACGCCTCTGGCCTATACCCCAGCTCTTGTATGCATAAATAAATCTTAAAAAAAATTTTTTTGTAAAAAGGGTAAAAGAATATATATATAGGGCCTCCCCGGTGGCGCAGTGGTTGAGCGCTGGGTTGTGAAGCTGCCTGCAGCCTCTGCAGCGCTGGTTCGATCCCCGGCTGCTCCCCAGACACTGGAGGAGGGTCCCACATGGCACGCAGGCCTCTCCTGCCGCCCGCTGCTCCCCTCAGCAGTGTACTTCGACCCTTCTGCCTGCTCTGCTCCCTGCTATGGCTCTGGTGAATTCTCTCACCCTCCTGCGCTTCTGACTGTACCCAGTGCTTATATGTATAAATAAATAAATCTTTAAAAAATAAATTTAAAAAAGAATATATATATATTTACATGTATATATGTCTATGTTTATAAATGCATAGGATGCACAAAAGATGTTATTAGCTGCCTCTGGAAAAAGGAACTGACTGGTTTGGGTTAGAAGAGCAAAAAGAAAGTTTCATCCTTTTTTTAATAGCCTTAGCATTTTCAGCCATGTAAGTATCAACTTAAAAAGTAAATCTAGGGGCTTCCCTGGTGGCCTAGGGGTTAAGTCTCAGTGCTGCCATCACAAAGACCCTCCCAGCAAAGTGGCCTGAGTTCGATGTCCAGCCAGGGAGCTACACACATGGCACAGCAGACCTCTCCGGCCTTGCCCACTGCTCCCCTCAGCAGTGTATTTCAGTGGATCCACCTGTTCTGCTCCCCACTGTCTCTGGTGAATCCCCCCCCCACACACACACACACGGCACCAATGGTCAATACCCCAACTCTTGTATGCATAAATGAAGTAAATCTTTTTTAAAAAAAGACTGCCAGGATAGATTGCCAGGGACGATAAGAACATAGATAAAACAAGATAGCCACAAGCTAATAACTATATGGAGGTTCATTTTTACTACTCCTGCTTCAGATGTTTGATATTTTCCATAATAAAAGTTTTTTAATAAAACAAATCACACAAAAAAATACATATTTGAAACATGACCACTGAAATGAAAAGATATGCCAATCTTTTAAAGTCCAATTCCTACTTCTTCCCTATATTTCTATATCGATTTTTCCCTTCCTTCACATTAGTTTATTCTACATAAAATTAACTAAATTCTATTGCAGTGTATGTATATTACAGACTCTATTATATCTATGGTTGTTTTGCTCATTAATTGTTCATGTTTTCTCTCTATAGGTAAGCCAGTAAGGTCCTTTAACACACACAAAAAAAATTTGATTCCACAGTCTTAAAATGATGCTAAATCTTCAAGTACCTTATCTAATACTCAAGTGAAAAACCCTGAGACCTACAGAAAAATGCAATATTCTTCCTTGGGCTACTTTGTGCTAAGTTCAGTTTTTACTCTAGTAAAAGCAAAGAAATAATACTGCCTTTTTCAAATTTTACATCAAAATACTAAGTTTCCAGCAAGTTAATACAAGTTAATAAACAAAAGGTTTTCCTCCCAGCCTTCAAATGGCCGATTTATACACTTTCACAGAAACAGAATTATATATTACTAGGTTTAAATTAAAATTTAATTAGCTACATTACTAATAAGCTGACACTATTTAATAAAACTTTAGCTGCAATATAAAAATGAGAGCTTACGCAAAAAAATAGTTCCAAAGCCCAGGAAATAAAGAACTTTACCATTTAACTAGAGAACAATCAAGAGTGGTGGACTATTGACATGTAAATAGAGATAAGCAAAAAGAAAATAAAAACCATCCAGCCACCCCTTTATAACACTGTGTCTCAGTGAACAGTAAGTCCACTGAAGACAGCTCATTTTTTCAAGGAACACATCTTCCTTCTAGAATTCATCTATGAAAGCCACAGGAGAAAAGAAAAACAGGGAGGGGGCAGGGAAGCACATGGACTTCATTCAGTGAGAGTAATACACAGATTTGTTTTTCCATTTTTTGCATTTCACCATGTGTATAAATACAGGGTCAGATTTTGGGGTGTGGGGTGTTTGTCTGGTGTCCTTAAAATTTCTTATTATAGTAGTAACAAAGTCCTACATTGTCAAATCTGATAGTAAACATATCATATACACTTTACATGTCAAATATTACTTTATTACTCTATTAACATACATTTAAATTAATTACTCAAAATAACCATTCCTTTTATCTGGTATTTCTTACATTGAAGTCCTACCCAACTCCATCAACAGATTTTCACATTTCATGTACAGTTAAGTGAACATGGAATAACTAAGTTTCTACTCAAAACATCCTATACTAGTCCGAACTCACACACAAGCAAAACAAAGACAGTGTCATAAAATTCATCCAAGTATCTAGGTGTAATGCTCACCTGCTCTCTAGCTCAGCGGTACTCCCTCACCCTTCTCCATCCAGTAAGACACCTAGGAGGGAAAAAGTTATCCCTCATCACCCAGAGTCTAAACAGTAACAAGTTTCCAGCAGTAAGAGTCTCAAAATGGTTCTGACTTTTCACTGGTACAAAAATTAATTTGATGCTATCTTTCCTTTTCCTTACTCTAAAAGCTGAATATTGTCTGTCTTGACTATTAAAATCCTAAGAGATTTCAATTCTGTAGGAGCTCTACATGGTTCTAAATTTAGCCAAGTAATAGAAATAGCTGGAAGGAATGCAATTCATTTTAATATCTGCACTTCTATGTTGCCAGGCAGTTAATTTCTTAAGTAATCTCCGAGCAGTCATCCACATTTAAGAATAAATATATAAGCCATGTCATCAACTGATAGGTTAGTAACACTGTTAATTAAAATATTATCTATGACTTCTGGAAATAACCAACTTCCCCCTTCAAAAATAAAGTTGACATTTCTTCTACAGGGAGGATTTTAAATATTCCAACAGAACATGTTACATAGCACATCACCACTTTCCTTACAGCTTATTTATGTTTCCATATCAAAGGAACAAAGAGATAGCCCTAATGTTTTTACCTTCAGTATAAAAATGCTTTTATGGAAGGAAGAGAAATGTCTCATTTCATGTATACTCCTTGAGCAGGCCATTCCTAAGTTATTAGACAATTAATTATTGGGGTACAGCAGATTCCAATTCTGGAGCTATTTATATTTTGAATTTTCTAAAACATAAGGAGCCATAAAACCATTCTACCACAGAATCCCTATCTTCACGTCAGTTTCCTAGATTGTCCTCACAGGCCATTATGTAAAATACATATGCAGATGAATGTAAAATGCAGGTTTCAAAGTGCAAAGTATGAAAGGACTGGTTTAGAAGTTTCCTTATATAAGGAGATTTTAATTCGGACCACAGAGGACAGAAAGAGGAAAAAGACACCTCAGGAAGAAAAAGCCTGGATTAAATGAGTAAAAAAGGGTATGAAAACTTATTTTCACCTTCACATGTCATCAAACTAGGGGAAAAAAAATATGATGCCAATTTTCAGTGTAATACCCATCTCCCATTGCAAGTCATCACAGCTGTCTATAACTCATTTAGTTATGAGAAATTTAGTTATGAGAAATAATTCAGTTTAGACACTTTATTATCAAGTACCTCTGGGAAGACACAGAAGGGCCTTTGATCTGAAATCCACTCTATTTTCTTTTACTGAAAATAACTGATTCATAGGGATAACAAAGGACAACTAAGAATGAGAAGTGGTTCCCCTTTCAAGGAACCACTCCCCATTAAAAGAATTAGGGTTCCTTACAAAAATGACTGACTCCAGGCTAAGTAAAGAACAAAGTTAATGTGAAATACCTTGTGTCGTGGCACTATTTTTAATAAGGAATATTGTTAGCATTTTTAATACTAACCTCAATAGACAGTAACATGGATTTTTAAAAAAATACCAAATATAAAGTGATTCTCAAAAATAGAAAAAAAAAGAGGGGGTGGGGGAAAAGTAAAGTTCTTCACAGAACAATGCCAAGCAGTAAATCTAAGAGGAATGGGAGCTGCAACACCGAGCAACCAGCACTGCAGTAACTGATTAGGGTAAGGGTTAGCACAGGTGTTATGGGCTCTAGTTGCCAGAGGGAAAATATAAAGGAATATAAAGTCTCACAATCTTAAAGTATCAACCCACAAATTGTTTCTTAATTACAAAGTGAAAAAGTTGCCTTTACAAAGAAATGTAGCTGACATAAATTTAAGTGATCAGCCTTAATATCACCAAGAATGGGAAAAAGCAACACTATGTGCACAGAGTAGCACACAACGTCATCTACATAATATTCTTGGCAAAAATGTTTACCATGAATCTAATCATGATAAATACAAATTCTAAACCATTCAACACAACTGACCTGTACTTTTCAAAAATATCAATATAGGAAAAACAAAAAAGAAGGGGAACTACTTTGAATTAAAAGACATGACAATTAAGTACAATAGATGATCCCTGACTACATCCTAGAACCAAGGAAAACTATAAAGCAGGAACTCAACTACTGAGATATCTGTATGGACTATACATAATTATTACAGTAGTCGCCCCTTACTGTAGGGCATAGATTCCAAGCCCCCCAGTGGATGCCTGAAACTGCAGATATACTATTTTTTTCATATACAAACATACATATATACATACAATATTTAATTTACAAGTATAACAGATTAACAATAATAATAAAAGAGAACGATTATAACAATATGCTGTAATATGAGTTATATGAACGTTGTCTGCCTGGGTTATTGCCACCAGCATGATGGACAACTAACCTAACCTCTCTGTTATGACCTGAAATTCATAATTGAATGCTAACCCCAAAGATGAGAGTATCAGGAGGTGGAGTCTTTGGTAAGTGATTAGGTCATGAGGATGAACCCTCATGAATGGAATCAGTGCTCTTAAAACAGGTTCCAGAAAGGTCCCTGGCCCCTTCCACCAAGTGAGGACACAGTGAAACGCTGGTTATGGGCCAGAAAGAGGCCCTCACCAGAAAGTTAAGCATTATCACCTTGATCTTGGCCTTCTCAGCTCCAGAAGAAATTTCTATTGGTAATGACCCACTCAACCTGTGGTGTTTTGTTATAGCAGCCTGAAGAGACTAAGACACTCATTAAGTCTCAACTGTAAAGTAGGGGTAATATAGTACTACTCTATAAGGTTATTATTCTGAGGGTTAAGTTATCTAATAAGTGCCATTTTTATTATACTTCCATGTTCACATTCCTTATTCAATTAACTATCTTATAAGTATAGGAAACTAAATCAATTTTTAGCCCATGTCTTGGGAACTAGCTTATAGGCTATAATAACTTTATCAAAATTTCATGAAATACATCTAAATTAAGTAGAAGCATTCCATCTAAGGAACAAAAAAAATTCCTCTATTAACACAAAAATAGTTAACTTACTCTAAAGTACCTGTAAATTGGTAAAAGGAGCAGTTTTGCAAAAATTATATTTGCTCCTTCTTTAAAATAGTAATTGGTTACTTATTAGGAATAGGGACAGGTAACCTTGGCCCCCAAATTGTCAATATTTACATTAAAATCCAATGTCATCAGGCCAAAAGTGTCTCTTAAATTCTGATATTTCCTGGGGCTTTCTTAACACTCTAGAAGTTTGCTCTGTGTGATCTCATGCCCTGCCATAGACTGAATCCCTATGATGTGCAGAGTACTCCAAAACCTAATTCCCATGTATCTCTAGAGCTCCCGATTTATTTAGCATTGGCTGCCATGTACTTCCAAAAGTGAACTCTATTAGATTTTCTGTTCTTTATCACTGTTGGTAGGTTGTATATTTCTAGAAATTTAGCCGCGTTTTCTAGACCATACAATTTTTCGTGTGTATAACTGTTCACAATAGTCACTTACCATCCTATTTTTCTGTGGTATCTGGTATAACATCTCTTCTTTCCTTTCTGATTTTGTTTGAGTGCCTTTTCTTAGTGAGTCTAACTATAAATGTAAGTATATCTTTTTTAAAAACCGCTTAGCTTCAAAGGTCTATTACTGTTTAAATTTCCATTTCATTTATTTCCACTCTGATCTTTGTTATCTCCTTCCTTCTACTAACTTTGGGCTTAGTTATTCCCTCTCTAGTTCCATGAGTGTACTGCTATTTTGTTTATTTGAAATCTTTCTGGTTTCTTAAAATAAGTGTTCATTATTATAAATTTTCCTCTTAAACTGCTTTTGTAGCATTCATAGATTTTGGTGTGTTGTATTTTCATTTTCATTTGCTTCAAGTTATTTTTTATTTCCCCTTTTAGTTCCCTTTGGCCCTTTAGCTGTTGGCCCATTAGTTGTTCCACAGGATGTTGTTTAATCTCTACATACTTGTGAATTTTCCAAATTTCTTCTTGTAACTGATTTCTACTTTCATACCATTGTGGTCAGAAAACATGCTTGAGGAGCTTCCTTGATAGCACAGGGGTTAAAGTCTCAGCCCTCTCATGCTATCACCAGCCATTGTGGATGAGGTCAATCCCCTGCCAGGGAGCTAACCCACATGGCACAGCAGAACTCTCCTGGCTCACCTGCTGCTCCCCTCAGCAGTGTGTTTCAGTGGATCCACCTGTTCTGCTCCCCACTCTGTCTCTGGTGAATCCTCTCACCTCCCACACCTCTGGCCTACACCCTAGTTCTTATATGCAATAAACAAATCTTTAAAAAAAAGAAAACATACTTGATATGATTTCAATCTTAGATTTACTAAGACTTGTTTTGTTCCTAATATATGCTCTATCCTGGAGAATATTCCCTGTGTACTAGACATGAATACAATTCTATTGCTTTTGAATGGAATGTTTTTTGTATATACCCATAAGACAATCTGGTCTAATGTGTCATTTAAGGTCAATGTTTGCTTACTGATTTTCTTATCTAGACATTGATGAAAGTGGAACATTAAAGTCTCTTCCTATTATTGTATTTCTGTCTATTTCTCTCTTTAGATTCATTTATTTTTGCCTTGTATATTTAGGTGCTGCTAAAATCTGATGCTTTCTTACCTCAGGAAGCAACAATACCCAGTCACCACAGATTCATCTGTTCACAATTCCTTCCCTCTCCTCCACTTCTAGTCAATCTCAAAATCCTGGCACCATCTCCTGGATTCATCTATTCTTCTCAGCTCCTCTCCCCTCTTCTCCACTACCATTATTTCTGGGCAGAGAATTTAGATGGGGCAAGGCCTCCAGAGCTCTTTTTTGCCTCCAGCAGAGCCCTGGGCCTTGTAACTAATAGTGGTCGTTCTGTCCACTTTTATCCCTGAATAACTGAAAGTCTCTCACTTATTCTTGATGTCTGATGAGGGTGAGAAATAAACTGTTGTTTCAAGATACTGGGGGAGATACTGGGAGGTCTGGGGTTCATTTCTTATCCAGAATACCATAGTCTATCCTGATTTCAACACCTTTTGCATTAACAACTGCCAACAGCCTCCTAATCAGTGTCTCTCCCTCTACTCTAAATCCCTATAAATATTTTTCCAAGTTGACTTTGTAAAACAAATCATTCCATTTCTCTGATTAAAATCTTCAGAGACTCCTCTTAGCCTCAAAATATTCCAAATTCCTTTATATAGCTCCTAAGGCCTAAGACTTGTTCATCTTCTCTAGCCTTTGGAAATACTTGCTCTCAGGCCTCCCTGGTGGTGCAAGGGGCTAAGCACCATACTATGAAGCAATTTGCAGCTTCTGCAGCATGAGTTCGATCCCTGGCCCACCAATGAGCAACCCACATGGAGCAGACCTCTCCTGACTAGCCCGCTGCTCCCCTCAGCAGTGTACTTCAGTCAATCTGCCTGTTCTGTTCCCCACTCTTTCTCTGGTGAATCCTCTCACCCCCCGCATCTTTGGCCTGTACCCCAGCTCTTGTATGTGTAAATAAATAAATCTTAAAAAAAAAAAAGAAATACTTGCTCTCTCTCCATACATACCATGTTCTTTAATGCTCTTAGAGCTCTGTACAGGCTACTCCATGTGCTTGAAATGCACTTCCACCTCACACCACCCTACATTCCTTTGCTTGTCCAGTCATATAAGACCCGAGTGTCAGCTAGCCCTTCCAGTCTCTCCGCAGCTCTTCAAAGTTGGTTCTCGTCTCAAGGCCCCTGTTTACCAAACCCCTAGCCCCATCACCCCAGTGCACCAGCTCCCTCACTAAAGGACAAACCCCCACATCACAAGGAATATTACCTAAGGCAGGCCCTTCCTCAAATTCCTTTGTTCAAATACCAAACACCTTTCTCCAGCCCTCTCATGATCTTTTCCTTTGTATCTTTTTTCAAATATTGATTTATTTATTTATGCATAGAAGAACTGGGGTGTAGATCAGAGGTGCGGGAGTGGGGGGTAAGAGCATTCACCAGAGACAGAGTGGGGAGCAGAACAAGCGGATTTACTGAAATCCCCGGCTAAGGGGAGCAGCGGGGAGACAGGAGAGGTCT